AATTGTAATTTACATGCAAGCTTTTCCAGCTTTATCAAAAGCTATTCTTTGCGGTGAATGTAACCATTCCCTAATGTTAGATTTTCAATTCTATATTGTTGGTTTAGCACCATCATTATCTAGGGGAAGTGAACATCATCGCAAGTGTGCTCTCGTGGTCGTTTCTACATACCTACAGTCGTTTTCAATACGTGTTGGTCTTTTCTACCGTATGCCTTCCAGCCTCAACATGACGTGGTTCGGGCTTGCGCCACGTTGCTTTTCTCGCCACGCCACGCCAAAGAGCGTCGCTACGTGGCGCAAGCCCAAAGCGATGCGGCTCTTCACCATTCACGTCATGTTGAGGCTGGAAGGCCTACGGCAGAAAAGACCAATACGTATTGAAAACGACTATAAATGTACAAGTCTACAAGGAGAGATATAGCCCGTCATTACACACTCCATAAGTGTGGCTCCTTATATTTTACATTTGAATGGCAGAAACGAATATATGCGCATGATTGTGCTAAAGTGGATGATGATAAGCGATGAAATAACCATAAAGAGCAAAACGTTGGGAAAGCAAAGAAGAACAAATTATTAAAGCAGTTGCCGATGTAATCTGCTCTGTCTAGAGCAACTCATTTTTAGTTATGAAATCATCAATTGGTCTTACTGCTGAGTTTTTCTCGCAGTGGCAATCATATCCCAAAACCGTGTACATTGTAATCAGATCTTTGCGACTTAGAGTGTGTTCTCCATGAATGTTTGATTAGGAGTTGCGATAATCCCATTATGATAATCTGATGACATAGTATGATGATAAATAACGCGTGTCCCACACAGTGGTCGACAAACTATTAGGTAGTCGGATAATTTCTGTTACACATATGGGAAGTCACTAAACTTAGGTCGGCCTTTTGAAATGAGACACACACACATTTAGAATCAACTCGGAACGCTGATTCCAAATATGCTGTCTTTAGCTGCGAAGCGTTTCTCTGAAACGAGTTATGAGCTTTTTCCTGAGCAAAGGTTGCGTGTTGACCGCCTTACAGGTGCCACGATATCATCATCTAGGTAGTGGTTCAAATGCCTAATACACCCTATAAAAGCTAAATGACTCATCTTGATGTTATTTCGATTCTCCTCAATTTAGTGGAGCAGATTCCGTTTACAAGCCTTTTTTCCATATTTAGTTATATTAGGTTGGTGCAAAAATAATGAGCGTTTTTATTTTCTTGCTTTAACAAAGCAAGCAGACTCAACCCAACAAAGGGTAAGGGGTATTGTTCGATAGAGCAAAGCAAGCTCTACAACATGGCACTCATGCCTTTGCGCCATGCTCGATCCGCGGAGAGTACGAACTCAAAATCTAAAAATTTCCAAATGCCCAAAAAATCGAAAAAAATCAGATCTTCGTCCAAATAATTTCTACGGACCCTCCCACTCGCTCACATCAATGCTATCGATACCTGATATCCATATGTGCGATTGAGTACTCTGCGTTGATACCACTGCTTAGAAAACGAAAATTTCCCTGATTTTCTCAAAGCAATGCTGAGCCGTTTTTACATATGTAGTTCTATAGTACAAGCCTAGGTAAGCACAACTGTAGTTTTTCAGCCTATTTCGAGCGGTACTTTTCGAGAAATGTCGATTTTAGCACTAAAACTGAAACGAAAAAATCCGAATTCGTTATTTCTCGAAACCTACCACTTGGAATGGGCTGAAAATCTACAGTTATGCTTACCTAGGCTTGTAGTATAGAACTACATATGCAAAAACGGCTCAGCATTGCTTTGAGAAAATCAGGGAAATTTTCGTTTTCTCAGTTTCTAGTCAAGCAAAAAATACGGCAATCGCACATATGGATATCAGGTATCGATAGTATTGATGTGAGCGAGTGGGAGGTCCGTAGAAATTATTTGGACCAAGGACCGGTTTTTTTTCGATTTTTAAAAATTTGGGCATTTGGAAATCTTTAGATTTTGAGTTCGTACTCTCCGCGGATCGAGCATGGCGCAAAGGCATGAATGCCATGTTGTAGAGCTTGCCTTGCTCTATCGAACAATACCCCTTACCCTTCGTTGGGTTGAGTCTGCTTGCTTTGTTAAAGCAAGAAAATAAAAACGCTCATTATTTTTGCACCAACCTAATATATCAATAACACATGCTAAAAAGCTCATAACTCGGTTAAGAGAAACGCTTCGCAGCTAAGAACAGCATATTTGGAATCAGCGTTCCGAGCTGATTTTAAATATAATATATGTGTCCCATTCCAAAAGGCCGACCTAAGTAAAGTGACTTCCTTTGTAAGATTTCTAGGAAATTTCAAAAGCTTTCTGAAACCCCCAAATTTGCAACACGCTTAGGACATAGCAAGGTCTACCCACCAGCATGATTGGTGCCGCAAGTGCACTAATGACAACAAGTTTACGGCAGTTTTGTAAAAGCAGTCAAATTTCTCAGTTCTTGTCTGATCTTTTTCTCTGCACCTATTTGCTTTTCTTCTTCCAGAATTTTTTAGAACGTATTTTGACATTTTCTCTCACATGGAAACATTCCGGTACCTCTAGCTTTTCGAAAACGAGGGATGAAAAAATCAAAAAAAAATTCAAAAACTTTTCTAAATTCTTTTTTCATGTGCATCGTATAGAAATGAGTACAGAAAACATAAAAACGATTTTTTGAAATTTTTTGAAGACGTTTTCTTCGCAAAAATTCCGATGACTGTAAAGATGGCGCATACTGAGATTTGAATCGCCCAGAAAAGCGTGTGCAGACATGTCTGCGTTATTCCCTCATATTAGCCAAACGCTACAGACTATGCCCTACCTGACTACCATATTGTCCGGTCTATCGCTCATCACCTGAGAGAACGCCTGCATTTACAAAAATGGGAAGAAATGGATTTTCAGCCACAAAGTGGGTGTTTTGCGCACGGATCGCAGATGCGACGGTACCCTTGTATAGGCCTTTTGACACGGCCATACTCCGTAAACATGAGATCTTTCCAAAGTTTCTGAGTTTTGTAAGAATTTAAATAAAAAGTTTAGCAGAAATTATCCGACAACCTAATACTACTTTGGTTTCTTTCTGCAATGTCAATGTTTGACTATTATTCCTTACTAGCTGATCTGCCCGGTCCAGCCCGGGAATGATCACTGATCGGGAATGAAGATAAGGTATTCGGTGGCATTGTAGAAACTGTGTAAAGAACAAAAACAAAATGTGAACACTTATTAGTCGGTAGCATATCTCTCTTTCTCCAAATAAAGTTCAACACGCAAAACCTAAGCAAGCAGCGCGAGTTAATTGATAGCAGCGCTCATTGTTATTATGAGGATCATTTTTTGTGACACTTTGCCGTTAACCGGCTACTTCATCTTCATTCACTGCTTGCCGTCAATTTTTGTGGATTCGGCAGTACTTTGCACTCGCGCACTTTCCTGGTCCCAGGGATCAACTATAGCGAATGTGAGTTATCGCTTGTCTTGACATTATTTCTGGTATTGACAAATAATTTGTGCGCAATCTCATGAAAAATTTTGACCCCTCATTGTTTAAATTGGGCATGTAACGAAGAAAGCATTGATTATAAGCGTAAATTGAGCACACTTCCGTACAAAACACTCGCTACAAAGCACTCATGGTCTCTTGCACGCTAAGGTTTCCGCATAAGATACATTTAGTGCATCCATTTAAATGAGCAATTGAGACTCACATCAAGAACACTTTTCACTGCACTTTGTCAACAGAAGTTCACAATGAGACATGCCAGCCTTGTTTACATACCCCTGTTTTGATAGCAAATGATAAGAATCATTTTTATTGCAAAGTGCTGCAAATCATTAAATTGATAGAAGGACCCAACGAATCGCTGCAAAAAGTAGCCTATCATCTGCGCAAGGCTCGAAAACATATGTGTGTAAAGTTTCAGCTCAATCGGTTGAGCGGCGCGCGTTTCTATAACGCACATACCCTCCAAACTGACAATTTTTGAGTTTTATATATATATAGATAGACCAGTGCGTCACCTCTGCTTCGCAGAGGCTCGCACTGATCTTACTTCATATGCCTTACTCATTCTTGACTAATGATGGCAATGAAACTCACCACGCAGTGCCGATCATCGCGAGTAAAATGTAAACAACTACCCATTTAAAATGCTTTTTCATGTGAGATCGGTGATTTCGCGTGGATGAAACTTTTTGCAGAAGAACAAATACGAATTTGAATAGGTTTTTGGACTCTTTCTGGCTTGGTAGCTGCCATAAGGAATAGTAGGCAACGTGAGCTACATCTCTGTGCAAAATTTTTCTCGAATGCTCAGGTAAAACCATGGCATATCAATCATTTACGCAAACATTTCTTTTTGGCGTCGTTCTCCTAAAGTAGTGAACTTTTGTCCACTTTTCTGGACTAAAGTCCATGGCTTGCACATCAGCATGCCAAACACATCCCCGATTTTGCAAAAAGTGGTAGTACGGAACCAATTTTGCTGGGCAGAACCCAAGTGGTTCCGTTTGACGCGCAGTTTCTGAGGGATCCAACCAACAAAACCATTCGTGCTTTTGCACGGTAGGCTCTTATGTTGGTCGCATGCGATGTGCAAAATTTAGCTCAGGACGTTGGCTGGAACTCGCTCTACGAATTTCGTTACAGACAGACACACAGACATACACACACACATACACACACACAAAAACACGTAAACAACCTTAGCCCGTTATTATAAGTTATGATATCTCGAGCTGCCATCTGGGACGGTATGCATCAATCTCCCATTTTGAAAGCGGGCGATCATTTTCAGTAGAAAATGATTGCCCGGCCGGGTTGGCCGCAGCTTCATACATTACGGGTCGGGCGGCCAACCCGGCCGGGCAATCATTTTTTTATTGAAAATGATCGCCCGCTTTCAAAACGGGAGATTGATGCATACCGCCCCTGGTCAATAATTTTAGAGCAACTAAATTGTAAGTGAAGACGACTCATACACTCTTCATTCTCTTCGGAAATCATATTGGTCTAACTGTCGGCAGCACAGCTCCTGCTCCACCTCGCATGTGGAATTCGAATGGAGGACACAAGAACGCCATGCAGTAGGAGAAAGTCATTGGCCCGCATCTGACTGCGGCATACTGTAGGTGGTACTTCTGAGCTTTGATACCGCTGAGGAATTGCCGGAACTGCAATGATTAAAATCTCAGAAACTACGTCTTTATTGAAAAAAACATGATTTGTCTTAGCTTGCAAATATGACACTTCAATTTATCTAAATATTCTAGGTTGAGGTTTCTTGCGTAAAGGCAGTTTTCAATCCCACTATCACATATCACTTGATCAAGATTTTTCGAATATAATCATTCCTATATACGGCTAGCCCTCTTTTTGACTTTCTATAGTTCCAGGTGTGAAAATTGTATCCAGTTGATTTTGCTGGTCCATCCGTTCAACACATTCGTGGGACGGATTCTGCACCATTTCATTATCAAAATAACAATCTGTGCTCTAACAGAGCTAACCAAATTGATTCTACTTAAATTACTTTACAATCGACATACATTCATATAAAAAACATGTCTGTATATCCGTGATCCGTGAAAGACACCAAAATCATTTTTCAGTCAACCTAGAGAGCACGAGTACAGCTCACCTCTTCACAGTTGGTGTTTCGCAGCCCATATTTTGCCACTTGGAAACCATCGGTGTTGTAAGTTTCTAGCACACGAAAATTCCTCTTGTTGTAATGCAGCCTGTGGGTATCGGCAAATTCATCAAACTAAACTAGAAATTTCTTTCTCATAGAGCTCTCTCAGGTCACCACTGTGTAGTGCTTACCAGCTCCTGGAAATCGTCCAGAGCTGCACTGTGCTGAGAGCTATTTGATTTTAAGTCACTTGCAAGTAGCACTTCAACCATATCCCAAGAAGACGAGCTTGCGTTTTCGAATGCCTGAACACAGAATATTTCCCGTACTATGCGTGTAGTGATCTTGACATATATCCTTGGTATTGAGATCAACTTACAGTGACAACCATAAAAGCAAAAAGTAGAGAAAGCATTTTTGGCTAGATTGAACATCTGCGCTGCGTCTGCCATTTATATTCATTCTTGTATATTAAGTTTCTCGGACACTATGAATCACGGAAATTAGAATGTGAACACAATTTTTATGGAGCTATTCGTAACGTAACGATTGCAAATGATCACTATTGTGCAGTTTACAGTTTTATGATTATTAATTCAGCAGCCAGCTAATGATATATTCCAACAGATTTGAACGAAAGAATACATTTGGAGGAAAGCCCTTTAAATCGATTATGGAAGCACACATTGAGATGTTTTCCATCACAATTCAGTTTCGATTGTACAAAGTCACATTGCCCTACGGACATCTTTCTCGTACGAAAGCTTTGGAAAGCTTCCTAGGAATTTTCCGAAGGAAATAACGTCACCCGTAAATAACGTCAATATCCTTAATATAAGAGGAATTCTATTGCTTTTTCTAGTCGAAACTCATTTTCAAGACGATGAGGATCATAAGTTTCTTCTATGAAAACGAGATAAAAGAACACGATCCTTATGCTGCCCTTACCTAGGAATACTTAGAAAAGCCACTTCGAGAGACACAACGAAACGACCGAGCTGCTTGCGTTTCACGAAGCGAAAGTGTGAGATTAATGGGCATGTACGGTCGACAAGCTGATATCCTATTGAAACTTTGCGTGTGGAGTCTATTTGTTTGCAGCAGACCGCTGACACACCAAGTAAAAAATTACGGAAATGATGAATATCCTCCAGGTTCAATGAAAGCAAATCCTACGGATAAGTGGTTGTTGCTAACCATAAGAGCTGCAGTAAAGTCTTCCTGTGTCGCTCAATACCTGCTGATCGAACTTTCCATTTCGAAAAAATTTCTTAGGAAGAAAGGCCACGCGCCATCCTGTCACTCAGTGGTCTCTGTTATCAAGGGAACACGACGAAAAACAGGATCAATCGTTTGATTCAACTAAGCTTCTTCAATATCTACATGAGAAGGATAGGGCCCAAATTTGTCTAAATAGTAGCCAAGGGGTTCATGTTGAAATCGCTGCAATAAGTACACCTACATTATGTTTCCTTCAGCTGAAGCAGTTAAGACTTAGCGGATCCTTTTTAAAAGGTGCTGTGATTGTGATGTCTTTTAGACTAAACTAGGTAATAAGTTGTGGCAAGCAACAATGTGAGCTATAAGCCACTGAACAAAAATTTTTATTTGAAAGCCTCAGAACGGAGCATCTGGTGCTGGTGCAGTCGTAGTCATTGCTGTATATGGCATAGGTCTAGCTGTGGTCGTGCCAGTGAACAAATCACACGAGAATGCCATGCAGAAAGAGAACGTCATCGGACCGCAACTGACCGAAGCATACTGTAGGTGGTACTTTTGCGCCTTTATACCGCTGAGGAACTGTCGGAACTGTAAAGAGCTGCAGAATTCAAGGAGAAACCCTTGATTTAGGCTCATTTCACCTCTTCACAGTTGGTGTTTCGCAGTCCATATTTTGCCACTTGCACGCCATTATAGTAGGTCTCCAGCTCGCGGAAATTTCTCTTGTTATAGTGAAGGCCATGAGTCTCGGCAAATTCATCAAACTAAACATATAAGTAGTTTTCTCAATGCATATTCAAAAATTTTATAAAACGCCACATACCAACTCTTGAAAATCGTCTAACGCACTATGATAGGCAAAATCCTTGGTGTGCTCACTGGCAAGTAGCACTTCCACCATATCCCATGCATATATTGAACAGTATACTGTTTTAAACACCTAGAGATGTCCATTTGAAGGGCTACTACTCGGAGACTATCAGTCCGCTTGATTCAGCACGCTTTAGATCTTGATAGCTAAAATAAATTCACTTACAGTGAGACTCAGAAGAGCAGAAAGCAGGGAAGGCATCTTGCGAGCATCTTGTCAGTGTTGTTTCGGCTCCTTTTATCCCTTGCCTCACTTTTTGTTTCTTCGAGCTCTATAGGCCACTTAAAGGAAAGTAAAGGCGTTTTGAAAACATTTCACAACGATCTCATCACTACCTGCATTACTTGCGTCATCATAGCATGTTTTGAGGGTTCGGAAGGGCAATGAGGGGCAGGATCAGTCATTGTTTGCAAACAAATTTTGCTCATTTTAGGGCTTATGGTTAGATCGTTTTGTGTTCGAGAAGCAAGATCAAATTCATGACTAAACATATTCTTAAAGGCTGCTTACCATGATTCTTCTCAAACGCGACCTCAACAACTTTTCGCGAATGCAAGCGGCTCTAGTCCCATAAAGTGATAATCGTTATGGAAAAGTTAAGCACCAGTCTCTTTCTGGCATGGCGTTAAACTATAATGTGTCACGGTTAGTAGGCCCGTTGACAACATTATGTGCAAATGTGTTGGTACAAAACCGAGCATTCCCCAAAATAATGCTAAATATGCGCTGTCTGGTATTCCCACTTGTCGCCGCCACGGTAAGTGCCGTTTAGCTTCATCTACCTTTCAATTCAATACAAATACAACTAGTGGAAGTGCTCAAAGCGGGAGGATATTTTCTGCGACAATCCTTTCTGCTGTTGCCCCGCGTAACAACGACGTAACAAATCGAGATTACTTTCCCACATACAAAAAAGTAGATGTCCCAAAATTGCAGGCAAACGATGCTGTCTTTTTTTCTCATTGATTTTATTGTAGGCGTACAAAATTACAAGTCAAAATCGGATTATCCGAACTTATATATTGAATCAACACCGAAAATGCATAACAAATGAAGGTCGACAGTACAGGGATATTTTTCGATTTCCGAGCGCCGTATTTTGCAGGACATACTTAAATCTGCAATCACCTGTTTCATTGAAAATTACATTCAGCCTGCTACAGAGGTAAAATATAGGAAAAACTTTTTTTAGGCCGCAATGTATGAAAAGTAAGAGTTCTGCTTTGCGTGTGCACAATGCAATCACTAACTGCTTAGTAAAACAAATTAGCTCCACCGCTTGTCCTTCCAAATTTGGCATAGCCATATGGTGTATTTAGTTCTCTAGGCGGCAAAGTTTATGGAAAGTTTGGGAGTTTATGGAAACATCATGCCATTTGTAAAGATATTTTCGTGTGTTTTCACTCCTCAATCATTCCACTTATTCTACTTCTACTCTGGTAAAAAAGCTCAAGCATCATGGCTCATTATAGTGTAACCAAAAGAAGCAGGTTTCTCAACGACGAAACTCGTAGCGTGCGAGCCTTGCCATGTAGATTTCGCTTCTCGAAACATGATATCATATTAACATCATGCAACGCATTTGCTTCTTTGGTCTTCTACCTCCAAAGAGTGAAAAGAATTTTTTATCGTAAACGAATTGTACTATTCGTGATTGTCGATTTTGATGCTGAACCTAGATCTTCGTCTACGGTGTGGATCTCATACCATGGGAAATCGTAGAAGTGGCGCTTGTCAGCGAGCTTCGTGATAACGGTCAAAGCATCAACGATCCGAATATTGCCGGTCATGTAATGAAAGATTTCCGCGCTTTGGCAAGTAAAAAATACACTTAATCAACACTTTTTCCATTTTTAATCGTTTTTTCCATTGCAGTTCAGAGACTTTGGCAAAATCTATAACTTCCGCTATAGTAAGAAGAACTTTCTTTATAACATAAATGCCGCAGCTGGAAAAGCAACTTTTGCGATGCGAAAAGGAAACTGTGAACAGGTGGATTTCGAGTTTCACGGTACAAAAAGATTTGAAAAACTTCCTTTGCAGCTTCGACAGTTTCTTACCGTCGTCAGAGCACAGGCGTACCATCTAAAGTCAGCAGAGCTCAAATGTGGTCCTATGAAGTATTCCATGCGTTTGAAGTACGTAAACGAAACTGGAGATGGCGGTGACAACACGACGGTTTCATCCTATAATCTTAGCCTGGACTATTGGTGAAACTCCTAATCGAATAAATTTTGGCAGCCTAGTTAGAGTGTCAAGGCAGAAGTTCTATTTTCTGTCCACCATGTAGTGCACAACTCTGAAGCTTTGGACTCCAGTGAGGTAGATATAGGTACAGAATTCTATAAAGCGCACTCTTGAATCCCGAGTGTGTGAATTCTATCTAGACAAGTCTCCTAGCCCTGGATCAAAAAAATTTTTTTGCTCTTTGACTCTGCCCAAAAGGATACAGCGCCAAACAGAATTTATACCTTCACCAATATCTTTAGATTTATACATTATTTTCAAGTGAATGAAGGGATAGTAAACAAAAGTAGAAGTCACGATTTTTGAAGAAGCAGCAATAAAATTTTCGAAACACCTGTTGTTCTAATTTAACTTTTCATCACCTCCTTCATTTTACCTAAATAAAGCCAGACAAAAAGCAGATCAAGGTTTATTAATACATTGCCGTACAAACAACGTTTCCCGTATCCTATGCATGAAAGTGAAAACTGTAAAAACTGATTGAGCTGGAAATTATTCGGTACATGCCCGTCTAAAAGGAGCAAGGATGAGATATAATATCATGAAACCGTACAAGTAAAATCCGTGTTTCAGCAACAAAGCTTAGATATGATACACACAAGAATGTGAACATTTTAGTAATAAGAAAAGAGTGTTCGATGAGATTTGTGGATAAAAAGAGGTCCATAAGTGATAGTTCAATAATAAGTCGATCAATAGAAATAATAGTTATGATAAGGATGTACAGGCTTACACGTAAGAATTATTTGTTAGATTGAAAGGGGTCAACACTAGACAATCACCTAAACTCAGGCATAGTAGGGGTACCCCAGAACGATGAAAGTGAGTTCAACTGAGCGATACGAGACATAATTTCTGAGTCTTGAGCGCTGGTGCGAAAACGAGCCAACGATTCTTCGAACGACAACGTCGAGGTGGAAGCAGGTGATGCTGAAGCGCTAGCTGGTGGTTCTACAGCTGCTACTGGTGCTTCGGCTACGAGATGAGGTGGTGAACTGCCGGGAGAGACTTCAGCGTTGGCAGATGAGGTCGTGACCGGTTTAAGTGCTACTGGTGCCGGCATACTGTTGATTGTGCTCTGAAAAAGCGAAAAATTGGATAAGGTCCACATCAGCTGAAAGCAGTGTCCAAGCAGATTTTGAGATGGTATTCCTATGTGGGTACCCATTGGGAAAATCTTCAGTAAACCACTGCACAAGCGGCAGCTCATAGTTGAGTATGGCGGCCTCGAGCCATTCGAGGCCGCCATACTCAGCTTTGAAGCTCGTCTAGTACCGTATCCGAAGACGCCGAGTGCGAAAAAACTACGATATGGGCGAGAGCTTAAAGCTTTAATTCTCAGCCAAGAGTGGACCATATGGGCGCCGCTTGGGCGATGGCTTAATAAGTTTCCAGTTTCCACATAAGAAACCCAGTTGGCCAGTTTCGTCTATTCATAGTCGAGGAATAAGATTCGCCCTACCTGTCCGCTAGATTCACTAATATTCGGCTTCTCATCTGATCTCGCAACTGACTGCGCTTGTGGAGGGGTCCCAATTTGCTGTGTCAACGGAGCTACAAGACCGTAAGCAGGTTGTTGCTGTAGTAACATACGCTGCTGCAAACCCATCATGCTCTGAAATGTATAATTGAAAAAGTAAACAAACACACAAATCATTTTTTGCAGGTCAAAATTTACCAAAATATTCAGCATGGACGGCTGTGGCCTCGGCATTCCCATAGAAAATCCAGCCGCCAGATTTATATTCTCTTTTTGTTGACACAGCAAGGATGCCATTATCTAAAAAACCACAATTTTACATTTTTTTATTTCAGAGACGATAAGGGTAGAGGATCCTTACCTGCTGCTGCTGCAAAGCGATCGCTACATTAGCCATGGCGTTCGGTTGTGTCAAAGACATCTATGAATAAGAAATATTTTTCAGTAACCATAAAGAGATGGAATCCCTTCCCTCACCTGAGCAGCCAACGCATTAGCTCCAGAAGTTGTGATGCTGGTAGTAATTGGTGAGTTAGCCATTGGCGATGGAGCAGTTGATTGCGTTGAAGCTGAAGATGAAGCTGACGGCGAATCCATTCTTGATCGCTTATGTGCAGGAGATGGTGCTAGAAATTTGCTATTCTGATAATATTATTGAAATAATTAGAGTTGTTATACTACCTCCACAAGACGATCTCTTCAGTTTAGCGGAGACTTTTTTGAACATTTCAGCAGAAACTTCATGGTTGTAATGTTCATCGTGTAGAGTAGTGATTTTCAGTAGCTGAAAGACGTATAACTCAAGAATGGTATAGGTCATGAAATTCGTTTGGTTATGAGTCCCAGAACTTTATGAAGTAGTAAACAGGGTTTAGATTTTTTAAATGGAACTTGCGCTAAATTTTTACCTGCTCACTAAAGCTGTAATTTAGTCGAAGCATAGCGCGACATCCGGAAGGAAGGTAGTGTTGATTAGGACGTTTCCCGATTCCTGAAAAATAATTGTGTTGGCTGAGTGTTTCATAGGAAGAGAACATTTATAGGTGGAAGAGAAAACTGCTACTCTGCTTCATGGTTCGAAACAAATGGTACAAACGGGGGAAGGGAGGAGGCATATAAAACATCAACTGTCGCACATTTTTGACGAAGTGAACAAATCTGTTGCTCTGACAAACTCCAAAGTGATTTTATCCATAATGGAGGCCACTACTAATTCTCCGCTTGTTTATCATGCGGAGAGTGTCTGGCGTAAAAATAATGCACTGCGAAAAAAAAAGCTTTCCTAAAATTTTACTTCTTCAATTTACTGAAATTTCTACTACTCCAACTCAACAATCTACCGACTCCCTCCCCCAAAGCAGCGCATAATCGAACCGCTAGTGTACCACACAGCTGTGTCGCGCATTATGGTTTATTGCTATCTTCGGACGCGATTTTTTTCGTCGACCACGGCTGAGAGCCGGCTCTCCGAAACGCTCACAGCACAACACCGAATACACACGTCGGATCGCAGGCCGAATCGCTCCGACAATCGCAGCGCGACAACAGGCGATGCGCAGTGGGCGAAGCGAGTCTGTCAGCTGGTAATAGCATCTGTCTATGCTGATTGTGGGTTACCGTGCTGTGAACAACGCAGATTATAGAGAACAGAACGCGAACGCCACAGCAGCGCAGCTGTTCTCCTCACCCAACACTTTTCTTCAGTGAAAATTCACCCGCGGTTCACATTGGGTTTAAAATTTGCAAGTGCGAAATTTCAAAAATTCATATAGGAGTAACAAAAACGGATGTTACCTTAAATCATAAAAAAAGCGCATCAATAGACCCCCCGAATTTTTTTTTCAATTTTTGAATTGTCTTCTGTCTCATTGTAGTGAGAGTGTAGACTTCGCGAGATGAAGTTTGCTTTGATAAAAAAAAGTAACGAATATTCATATTGTGATTCTCTTAGGACTGAAGTCCAACAGCTCCAGTGTGAATGCCTGAGCTAATTACTACATTCTTTAGTTTTTCTCAAGTTATCATTTTTTAAAAATCTTTCCAAATGATCTACCCAACTGCAATCAAGCAATAACTTCTTTTCGGAACGGTAAAATTGAAAACTTCCCTTGAAGGCTAATCGCTGATTTCTGAAATCCGAACAGCACTAATTCTATTAGTAAAAATCATGAAATTTTGAAATATGGCTATTTTTCCATAGCACTCTGCTCAGCGAAATTTCTGCGAGAGTTCCCTCCCTATTCGCTGCAAATGAAATTATTTTTGGACTATTCTTTGAACGATAACTGGCTGTCATCAGTCCAAAACCATGACAACAGGCCATATTTACTGTTTTATCCTACAACGTCATGCTTCCAAATAAAAACCAAGCTAGCGAGCTTTCCTTGCACGAAAATTTTGCTTGCAATCTCCAGATGCTTAGTCACGCTGCCCATTAGCAGTTCGTGAGACAGACAGAATTGCGGTTACAGGTGGATGAGGTTTTTTCGCTCGAAAAGGACCGAAAACCCGACGATTGGGTCGCGCCACATGTTCTCCAGCCCCTCACCTAATTACACATGCAGACATGTCCATTTTAACGTCTCTTTTGGTCGCACAGGGGCCAGAGAGTGGATAGCAGGCGACAGATGGGTGAATGTGTCAAGTTGAGGCCCCACAATTCAGCACACTAGCACAAGCAGAACAGGTGATGATTGGACGGGGGGGAGGGGGGGGGGGGAGAGGCCAAGAACTTACCTCGCATCCTGGGCTCGCCATAGTGTGCACAGTGAAAGACGACGTAGCGGTACTTGAAACGGTGATTAATGGTGCCGTCAGGTTCGCGAAGAGTTTCTGACGACGCGACGCGGAACGGGTGAAGGCGTTCACGTTTCCACGCCTCAAAGGCTTCATCGAACTCGGCGTAGCTGAAAAGAAAGCACTGAAATAACATTTCTTGAGAAACTTCGTTGTTTAGCACTTTTTGAGCGGTAGAAAGTTCCATGTTAGGCAACCCAAGAAAGCTCGTCAATTTCCCTATGATTGGGGTTAAGATAGGTATACGGTACTCAAAACTTCGTCCAGAAAATAGCATCATATCAACATGCTGACTGCTATTATGCTTTTGGCAGACTGAAAGGACTTCGAGAAGTTTTGTAGGAAGATGGCATGTACCACCTTATTTCCTAAGAACCCCCCCCCCCCCCTCTCAAAAAATTGTGAGTTTTCTTTCCCCCATGGCTGTTTTAGTTATCCAAAAAACTGACAAACCTCGAAAATCGCGCATCATTCGTGATTCTTGGATGGCTGCTACTTTGCGCAGCTGCCGGAACATTCGGATAGATTGGCTTTGGTGCAAGTGGGATCACTACAGTATCCCCGGTTGGGGCAGTCACCGGTTGGTAAGGTTGAGGTGGAGTTGAGACAAAAGTGGTAGGCATTTCTGTTCCAGGTCCAGTATTTGCCAGAACTTCAGATGCTTGTGCCAGGGCATTGGATAAGGTAGAAGTACTGTCTTTTGGTGATACTAAAAAAACGCTGATTCAACTTTCAGCCTCAGATTTTTGAAGTTTCAACCCTTACTAGGCTTCAAATCCGTAAATGTCGGTACTGGACCACGAGCATTTGCAACATTTTCAGGCGATGAATGTGAAGGTGTGCTTGTTGAAGCGACCGATGCTGTTGATGAGTTAGGAATATCCTGTAAACAACTGCATACACATTCAAAACTACCCCCTTTGTTTATTTACAGAAGTTGCTCCCAAAGTATCGCCGAATGAATCGGCCGGATCAAAAAGAGATTCTAGAGATATTGAATAACAACAGGTCAGGCAGGCCCAGACAGCATACTTGAGCTCGTCATAGCTCGTGACAAATGAGGCTATGGGGTCTTCGAAGAGTGTTTGAGGATTGGAGTCAAGTATGGAGCGAAAGTACTTACCACATGAAGTTCTTCGAGATGATCTGGACTACAGCTACTGCTACAGCCACTGCTGCTACCGGTAGTACTGCTCCAAGCATCGTAGTGAGCTTTCTTGGTTGGTACATGCTGTAAATTCTAGGTGGATTTAGAGGAAGTCGTACTTTAAGGTGTAAAGTTGATCTGCAAAAACTCACTACGAAATCTGGAAATCCATACATTTCCACACCGTAGTTTTGATTTGTTGTTTTTTCACTTGTCATGGGTTAGAGGTCTGAAAATTGATTTTTAGAAAGCAGGATGGAAAGAAGTTTTTTTACATAGGATAAGAAAGGAAAAGTCATGAAAAGGCAACATGAATACACCAGATTGAAATCTTTGCAACGAAGCAGAACGTCAAAGAAAGTTGTAATTTCTAAGCAGCAAATTCCACCCCCCCCCCCCTCCCCCGCCCCGCCTCCCTCCCCGTTTCTACCAAAAAAACGAAAATGTAAAAATTCCATTAAGCCAGCCACCTAGCCATGGGAAGACAAGAGTCTGTCTAGAAGGAAGAAGAATACGTGTTACGCAATGCGACCCAGCCACGACCCGGCTGTGCGGAAAAACAACTCGGACCTCTAGAGATAGGGACCCTCGGAGAGCTGTGTGACACATACACGATGGTCTCACCTCTGCCAATAGCATCATGTGACCTGAGCAGAGTTTGATGGATGGGATTAGATTTACAGAAGTAGGAAGAAGTTCAAAGTAGTTTTAGGATGTGTATGAGGCCACAGAAAATTTCCGCAAAAAGTGAGAGAGGGTGCAAGTGCTAGATATCGAGACTAGATTTTGAAACTGGAAATTTTTAGAGTTTTAGGAATGTAGAAGAACTGTGGGAAGGAAAGGAATGAGTTTGAACCCAAAACTACTAAGAATTTTAAGAAAGAGATCTAGCCGAATTGATAGATATTTTGAGGCACAGGATTTTGAGCGGAGAACAAAAACAAGTAGAAAATACCCAGCGAGCAACCACAAGGTGGGTAGACGGCTGAGGCTGACCAGAACTCGACTGGAGTATAGCAAAATCTGTAACAGGTCTACTACGGACCACATCGGCCATAGCCCCTGGATCCGCCCGCCTCTGCCGACGGCATTTTGGCGCCCAAAACTGCCGACAACGCTCTGGATCTGGCCATAGATATGCCAGCTAGAAACAATATAAGGTCACCCGCAGGAGAGTTAGAGAGAGTTCTGCAGACACTTAGCGTCTAGCCAATGGCACTATGTCACAGCCGATGCATGGCAAGGGTCAACTCCCAGGTCGCGGTTGGAGGAGAGAGCTGGATCGAATAGGGGACAGGTTGTTGTCATTTCACTGAATGGCCATTTCAATGCTCTCATTAATAATTCTCGGGGTCTCGGTATTTGAACGTGGTGACATGGTTCATGGAGAGCGGACAGAGCCTTACGACTCCCATATGTCGCGCGCTGGTGGAACCGCAAAAGAATGTCAGCACCGTATGCGGAACAAAGACGAGATACTTAGAAGGTTGAGTTGCGTAAAAGGAAGTGGGCTGAGTAGCTTCTGCAATGGAGGAATTATTAGGAGAACCAAATTTGATTCTGTGATCCTGTGGGACGAAGTGAAAGGGCCATCTATGGGAAGCTCGTCTGAAGCAGATCCACTCCGGCGCCACCGACCTGGCCCCTTTGTGACCGAAGTCGACTACAAACAGCTCGAAGACGTCTGGATCGGTGCTGGGATTGCGTCAGCAACGCATAGATGACTGTCTGGATATGTGCTGAGTGCTATATGCCTCTATTCTCTCTCTGAAGGGGTGGAGCAGCGGCTGGTCAGAGCCCTGAGCAGAGAGCATGCCGATGGAGAGGCCCCGTCGTCGACGGCGGCACAAGCTTGGCCAGACGGTCCGCGCAGAGCACGGGGAACCCGGAGTGCGCAGGGTGACGGTCAGCCCGAGACCATCTGCCGGGATATGCAAATTGCAGACAGCGGCTGAAGCCTCCGGAAAAAAATCGCTCCCCCAAATCTGACTGAGTGCAGCCACTCCACTAACGGATAAAAGCAGAAATGCAGGACTCAGGGTATTTATGAAGTATGGCCATTCCATACTTTATTACTCCAAATCAAAAGAAACACGAAATACATAGAGAATACTAAAAATAGCTTGCTAAAGTCATAAAGCGGTCTAAAACAAATTTATAATAGAAAGAGACTCGTAAGGTATGATTTATATCCATACTTATAACGAGAGGTTGTCGAGGTTGTCAAAAAAAATGAAAAATTGCCAGTTCCACAATATTTCACATCAAGTGTGGCCCCTTCCTTTTTCAACAGGAAACGGCTGCACATCACAAAATTTACCACCACCCATAAAATTTGATGAATTCTCGGTTGTTTCTAAGATTCAGATTTCATTAGAATTGCTGTGATTATACTCTTGGCATCAGATTAGAAAGTTTTGAAGTTTTTGAAACCAAAAATTATCTACTAACTTGCAAAATGAGCAAGAGGAACATTGCAAACGATAAAGTACAGCTGATCACAAAATCTTGAAAGTATTCCAGTTTTGAGAGTTGCAGGAAACAGCAGTATCAAATTCTATCCTGATACTGATGTAGATTAAGATGGAAAAAATCTGTCTATGACGCATTTTATATCATTCTTTTCCAAAACTGAGTACCTATAAAAGCTCAAAGAATGAATTATTGAGTTGAAAAACGAATATCAGTAACGATATCTCAATTTCTGAGGTTTCGTAAAACTCGAACGAAAGGAAGCAAATTGTGATGATGTTGTTGGAGTCGGATCGAGAGTCAAAAATAGACTTACAAGCTTCTTTTCAATCAACTTTCTTCGTATGGTTTACGACAGGTGAAGTTAATCTGCCACAATTTACCAGACCGTAATTATTGTAAGAATACGAACGTTAAGTTATTTCTTAGATACTACTGACGAGTATGAGAATTTTTCGAAACTCTTCTTAATGTGGAAAACATTAGTGGGCAACTGTAATGTGGTTCAAAATGCCCCTTTACTCCAAGTTCACCAGAAAGTATTTGGAAAGGAAGTTTGTAATGTCGTCCTGAGTTTTGCGAAAATCTCATAGTAAAACCTGAATCGTGCTCTTTTTGCTGTGGTGTACTCATAGTCCTGTCCTTGATCATTTAACCAACATATCCCCTTTGGAAACCTTTTTTTCACCCTTAGAAGATGTTCACACCATTTTCCGACAGAACGCAGATCACAATCAACAGAATGAGCAGATTTCTTTTCGGCACAAATCGCCTCGGCTCGACCTCTGTCAGCACCTAAAGGGTCAGCCGTTCATGATGTAACCACCATCAATATCGATTGGGTCAGATTGGTGGCACTCCTGGTAAACAATGATCATAGATTACAGTGATCGTCTACCCGAGACCCAGCTATCGTCGAGAACTTTCCCCTTTGATATCTGCGATGCCACTGCCAATTGGTATCTACCCAGTGTGGGCGAGATAAGTGAAGATAGGGCAGGCAATTTTGGAGTGAAGAGGTAAGGGTAAGTCCAGCTTACCAGACTGAGTTAGTTGATTATATGTAACTAAGAGAAATTCCCAAATCAATTAACATCGCGGAGCTAACGAACGAATGCGAAACGAAGGCAGTAGCGACGAAGAGTAATGCGTGGCTATTTTTTTCCAAGCTGCCATATTGTGGAAGACAAAGAAAGATCATCAAAAAAGCAGATCTGCGCGCATACTGCCAGCGCAATCCCCAACCATCCCTTTCGATTGACAAAAATACGAAAAGGACCATGACTAAGGGAACACGATTTTGAGATTGTTACCTCAGCCACTGAGTCCACGGAAGCTTGCATAATCTGCTACAACTTCGATCCTGCTTAGAACATAAAGATTATAACTGATGAAACTATAGGCAGAGATTTCACTTTTGAGAGAAAGATCTTCACTTTGCAGTATTAGAGCATTACAAAATGTAAGCTGCAAAATGGCGTTGTTTTATCAGTAATTTACTCCAACATTTCGGATTTGACCTATACGGCTGGAAGGAATCTTTTGAAAATGAAGCACTGATTTTATGACGAGTTTCAAAAATACAAAGAAGCTGACGGTACAATAATTAGTCATAAATCCTGCATCAAGTTTTTCAAGAATATTAATTTTCTCAATATGTATTAGAAAGAGCTGTGAATCTTCTATAGTCTCAAAATAATCCAAATCATCGAGCAAACACCCGATATAGTTAGTCAAGACGACCATTCATATTGTAATTTTCATATTCCGGTAGCTAAAAAATGAAAGAAAATCTATTTTATTAGGTTGGCACGAAAATTCTGTCGCACGATTTTCAAAAATTCATGACTTCTGATTTTTCCAACCGATTTGACTGCCTTTAATTTTATATGAAAGAGTAATTCATGCTCTTTATAATGACTTCTTAGCTGCTTACTAATGATCATCTGTTGCATAGATAGGAGCGATACAAGAAAATTAGTCAAAATTCGAATTTTTTGTGTAGGGTCATAAAAAATCGGAAACTTGCAACAAAAATTGGAGCAGTCGGTATTGTAGGTTCTTTCACCAGCTCTTTCTAACAGTGCAGAGTTTGCGCTGATTGAGCGTCTCTATCAAAAGTTATGATTTCCCTGAAAATACCAAAATAAATCAAATTCGCCCTTTTGTATTGATTGCTCGAAAATCATAACTTTTCATAGAGAAGCTCAATCGGCAAACTTTGCACACTTAGAAAGAGCGGGTAATAGAACCTATAATACCATCTGCTCGGATTTTTACTGCAGGTTTCCGATTTTTTACGACCTACACAGAAAACTCAAATTTTGACCAATTTTCTTCTAACGCTCCTATCTATGCAACAGATGACCATTAGTAAGCAGCTAAGACGTCATTATAAAGAGCATAACTTATTCTTTCGTATAAAAATATAGAGAGTCAAATCGGTTGGAAAAATCAGAGGTTATGAATTTTTGAAAATGGTGCAACAGAACTTTCCTGCCAACCTAATAGTTTTGAGGTTTTTTGGCCCGCTCTTTTCAACCAAGAAAATTCCTACTGATCGCATTTACACAGATAATATAAATCACCAGTTTTTCTTCATATTCGACATGCCTAATTTCTGACACATCGAGACAAATGAGATTAGGACATTTTCCGTACATGACAGAAAGCAGAGTAATCAAAACTTTTTTCCAACACTTTGGAAAAGAATTTTTCTAGTTTTGGTGCAGAACTTATGATTGAAGTTTACAAGTCTCCTCG